AACGTTTACGTTTACGTTTACGTTTAACGTTTACGTTTACGTTTAGGTTTAGGTTACGGTTACGGTTACGTAACGTAACGTAACGTAACGTACGTACGTACTCTCTCTCTCTCTCTCTCTCTCTCTCTTCTCTCTCTCTCTCTCTCTCTCTCTCTCTCTCTCTCTTTCTCTCTCTCTCTCTCTCTCACAACAACCCCTTCTTCCCTAAAACTGGAATCTTCCTTGAAAAACCAGAGTACCTTCAACCGTAAATCTGGCATTTCCCTAGAAAAACTAGAGACTCATTTCATGCTAGAATGTTAAAGTTTAGAGAGAGGAAGAGATAGGGAAGTAGGAAACTGAGTGACCTAGTGAGATAAAAGTAAAGAAGCAATGCCTCTTTATTAGAGAAAGAGAGTGAAGAATCAAGGAAACCAAGCCAGTGCTGAAGTCCTGCAGTATGTTACCCAACCCTTTCTTTGAATATGAAACCTCTCCTGTCTTCCCTTTAATGAAACATTTTCTTACCTATTGTCTCTCTTCGCATATCTATCTTCCTTCTCTCTCTCTCTCTCTCTCTCTCTCTCTCTCTCTCACTCACACACACACACACACACACACACACACATGCAAAACAAAAAAAAAACCCACTCAAAAAACAAAAAAATGTGTAAAACCCACTAATTTCCTCCCCTTCATCACCTTTGCTCTCGCTGACCTTGCTTATGAGCTCTCTTCCCTGAAAACCACAAACCCCGTGTTTTTAAGTCTCTCTTATGCAAAACCGAAGATTCACTTTCTTCAAGTGCTGGCTTGTCACCCTCTGTCATCCCGAGCAAGGAGTCGGGGGGGGGGGGAGTTTACCATCTCCCAACTTCATCTTCTCACTTCTCATCTCCTGCTGTTAACTTTCTCTCTCTAAGGCGCACAAATTTCTTCCAAACCCCAATTCTCGAAAGGCTTTAAATGAGAAATTCATTTCTTTCAAAGCTCTTCTATGGAAGCAAGCTTGGATCCTGGAGTTCAAAACCTATTGCTGTTGTATGAGTCTGGTTTTACCAAATCTTTCCAAAACCAGATTCAACGTTTCTTTGGAGACCCATTAGATGTCCTGGTTTCTGAGAGAAGAAGAGGGGCACCAAGTTGTGTTGCTTTGTGAGAGAGAAAAGTAGAGCTCCCCCTAATTGGAGAAGCAAAGGAGTGCCAACTGCCCTGTTTTAAAGAGAGAATGAAAGACTCTTTGCAGGTGAGCTTGTTTGTCTAAATCAGAGGATTTGGAGTGAGAAAGAGAAGAACTAGAGATAGAGTAGGTTTTGGGTTAGAGGAGAATGGAACTTTGAAGGTTTAAGTCATGATCGATTTCCAATATGCAGAGTTTTAGGTTAGGTTATGAGACCACTGTTCAAAAAAGGCGGACCGCCTTGCGCATAAGCCAGGGCTGACTTCCTGGCCTGCTCTGTGTGGACCTAGACGGCAATCCCTTGGTGGTCTGATCCTGGGTGGCTGCTGAGGTGGTCTAGGCAGTGCCTAGCTCCTAGGCATAGATTCCTGCCTAGGTCAACCTTGTCTAATGGCAGACAGTGCCCTTGGGCAAGGGGCAAATTCATCATTGTTTCTTTGTCTAAGGGGTAAAGGGGATTGGGGGCCGATTCTGGCCGATTCTAACCCCCAAAGTTTGTTCTAGGGTTTCTCCCTCCAAAATAAAATAAAAAAGTACAAAATAGAAGGTTTTTCATTCTTTCTTTTTTTCTTAGGAGAATTGTTTTTAAAAAGTTTGAGACTTATTTATCATTTGATTCATTCTAAACTCTCAAGAGAGGTTATAAGAGGAATTTTTGGATGATTTGGAGCTCAATATCCATCCAAACAATGAAAGGTCAGGCATAAATGATACACTTAAACACACATCGAAGATACACATATATGAATGTATTTGCACTTGGAGCGCGCGCACACACACACACACACACACACACACACACACACACACACACACACACTATATATATATATATATATATATATATATATATATATATGCACATAAATTATGCATATATATGTATCTCTGTGCATATGGAGCATGCATATATGTATATATGCATATTTAGGAGATGGGGGTGCCTCGAGATATGGGTACCTTCCTTCTGCCCACCGTGTTTTACTACATTGTGAACAACTAACCAAATCATATTACACAGAACATAGGGTACCTACCGAACAGCTAAAAACGTAATATCATGCGAATAATTTTAAAAAAATAATCTACTCTGATAGTGTTATCTATCATCCAAAGTTTTTCCTATTATGCTTTTTAAAGGTAAATTTATAAATGGTGTTATGTTTCTTAAATCTGTGATGCAATATGTTATAATTTCTTGTCTTAAGTACATCCTTCAACTAAGTTGGTTGCGTCTTATAAGTCATGCATACTATTTTTTTTACACTTCTTTCCCTAAGAACAGTCATCCAGGCATGCATGCAGGCACACAAACGCACATATATTTTTTAATAATTAATTACATACATATCTTCATTTGTGAGATCAAATGCTCGAATCCAACATATCGTGAATGATTGTTGCATGAATTTTATGGATGCTTGGTTGGAATGCAATTTCCTTTCTTGGCTTTCTTACACTATATGTATATACATATACATATACATATATATACATATACACACACACATATATATATATATACTCATGCATAGACAAGTTGTAGTTTGATTGTGCAGATTAGATGTCTGCACCAACTATGTATTCCCTTGGTGTGTGTGTTTGGTATTTATAAGCGGACAGTTCTTTTTTGCTGTATTCTACTTTGAATCTATATATGTATATATATATATATATACTCATGCATAGACAAGTTGTAGTTTGATTGTGCAGATTAGATGTCTGCGCCAACTATGTATTCCCTTGGTGTGTGTGTTTGGTATTTATAAGCAGACAGTTCTTTTTGCTGTACTCTACTTTGAATCTATATATATACTTAGAATTCTCTCTCTCTCTCTCTCATGTACAAGCACATGCATTTTCTAGTACATTTTAGTTATGTGATTTATATATCTGTTTTTTCGCATAGTGTCCTTGTTGACATCAAAACGATTTCTTGGTCTAAAAATATACCAGTTACTGGGATTATGGGTTTCTGAAATTTTTTATCTTTGCAGCCTTTAGACACAGCACCAGAAACTTCATCTGAATCAGCCCCAGCAACTGTTCCATCGGTACCCGTGAGCAAGATGAAGTTCCCTTGTTACTTTTTCTTTAACACGTATTGTGTCAAGGGTGATATGTGTCCCTTCATGCATGGAACAAATGGGGTTGCACCTGCTTCAAAGCCATCAAAGCTGGATATTGCAACCACAGATGCTCATCCCATTGAAAACAAGAGTAGCCATGGAAATGATACTGGTATTCCCAAAGCAGAACAACTATCTATTGGTTCAGTTCCATCTGCCCCAAATGAGGTTCAGTCGCAACTTACATCCAAAGGCATGATCGAAGATGAAGCTCCAGTACAAGCCCTTGAGAGAAGCCCTACCCCACAGGTATTATCAGAGGGTGAATCTTACCTGTTAAAGTTTTCATCTGCTCCTTCTACAACAGTGGGCCTTCTTGATGGTAAAACTCATCTTTCCCCTGATCATAGTTCAGAGGATAATATAAACAACAATGTTGAACCAGAGGAGTGGTGTGAGTCCTCACCAGGGTTAGATGTACTCGTAGATGATGGATCTGAACCCTTGGGTTTTAATGAAGATTCTGAGTACGTAATGGATTATGATGGAGACCTTGGCCATTTGCTCCGTTACGAGTATGATGAGCAATGCGGTTTCAAATCCCATGATTATGCTGATACAGGCAACCCATTTGGGCTTGCTATCTATGACAGCTATGATCATGAGCTAGTGAGAGAGTATGGTCATGATTATCTTGAAAGAGGGGCCAAATCCTTCATGGGTAGGCCAAGGGAGCCATTACCTTCACATAGCAAGCGAGCAATACCAAGAAATGTTCATCGGGAGCGTCCAGGTGCCCTAGATCTTCGAGACCATCTAAGGAAACGCTCAAGGAATAATGGAGGGGGCCATGTTTCTCGCAATCCTAGAAGGCATCACCGCTCATCTGATAGGTCAGATGCTAGGAACAGGCAGCTATCAAGGCGCAGTGGGGGTTGGGTGCAAGGAAGGTTGGCCTCTGAAGTTGTGATCAATAGGACGGAGCCTGATGATGAGCTTGGGTCTGGTTCTAAGGGTTCTCGCTATGATGGCATCTCTAGGCATTCACAGTTGAGGCATGGTAAGTTTAAGTATGGGGAGAGAGAAAGAAGAGAGAAAGAAAGAAGAAGGACGCAGGAGAAGTCTTCAATGCGGTTTTCGGGGTTCCCAAATAAATTTCATGGTCAGGGAGGAGGAAATAGGGGATCTGCTCAAGAGTTTAATGTTTTCCAAGGGCCTAAGACTCTTGCTGAGATCAAGGAAGAGAAGAGAAGAGCTCAAGGGGGCGAGAATGGTTCACTGATTGCTGGACCTAACAGTCGAAATCCTAGAAGGGGTTTTAGTGGAGATTTTCAGGGCCCAAAACCACTAAGTGAGATTCTCAAGAACAAATATGGGAATGGATCGGTAAATGAGCAGGAATATGATGTAAAAAATGGGGAGAACAACAATGTGGAGAATTATAATGGGGACGATGCCGATGGTGAGATGATGTATCGTGGAGATGTTAACATCGGGTTGTCGGAAGCTGATGATGAGTACATGGATGATGATGATGATGATGATTTCTCTAAGAAACTTGGTGGTTTGTATGCTTAAAGAGGCTTGGCATCTGTGATATTTCTTTTGAGTCTAATTCCTAATATACAGACTGGATCTTGGGATAGACACATTGGACTCTCTCTCTCCACAATATACAGATACCAGCTCAACAATCTCCAGTGACTACTACTAATCACACTGAATTACTTCTTGTATATAGATGCTGAAATTTTTTATTAGTTATGCTGAAGTTGATATGATCAAGGAATTCATTGTGCATATCTTTTCATGCTGGCTGTCTCTCACCGTAAATGGATTGCTGGCCCTGCTTGTATCATTTCTCATGAGGCTTTCCACAAAGTTGTTTCAGGCGTTCATTTGTGAGCCCTGCCTATGGAATATGATAACACACCATCTATTCTCAATGGAGGACTTAACTGAAGTTTTTGATGTGCCCTGATTATGAACATTCATCTGGGCATGGTTACTCTCTTAACACCTGTGGAGAAGAAATGGTGAATGCTATACTTGTGTACCGCATAGATGTACACCTATGCAGGCTGTGCATTTTTATGCACTTCCCTGTATGGTTATTAGTGGGAGTTGTGGTTTATTTTGTGAATGGCTAAGTAGCCTTCAAACTGAGCCAACTATTTGAACTGTTAGCCAAACTACTACCAGTAAAGTGTTTCCAGTTAGGTGCTAAATGACCTGAAGATGGTTCCTTTCTTTGTTTGGGCTTTCTTCCCTTCAGTTCTTGATTGAAAGAAACTTTGTTTTTGACCTGGCCCATTAACAAACTGTTTTTGGAGGTTTGGTGCAGTGTATTTTTAGAAATCATAATCATGCCAAGATCCAAACTTTTTATGCATTCCTTTGGTCAATGCTATGCATGGGCACTGTGCAAATTTACAGGCATGTGCTCATGGTTTTCATCCACCATCAACTCAACTCACAAATGAGTGGAGTAGCATCTTCATACATTGCATTCTTTGGGGTAGCATCCTCATACATTGCATTCTTAGGTGCATGCATGCACATTCTGTATGCTTAAAGCTCACGCAGCTTATGTGAGGGCTTGCATTTTTCTTCTTTTCTGGGAAGTCGTTTGACATCTTCTCATGCTAAATTCACATCCTTTAACCATGCATGGGTACATATATGTGGTGTTGAGACTCGTGTGAACTTTCCATGTCACATGAGCATATTCATGCTGATGCAAGTCAAATCATTCATCGTAGAGTATGTGTCATTAACACCATGTGGTTCGACAGTTTGTTGTATTTCTGTCTGTGCTATCATAGTGAAGCTATGGTCGTGAGTGTTATCACTGTCCAGTCAATTGATGGATGGTGACGGAAAGAAAATGAAACTGGCCGCTTGGGCGATTCATGTTCTCATGGATAATACAGCCTCTATCACTGTCCATCAACTGCATCGGGCAGTAATACAAGTTATAATCGTTGCTTTTCTTTGAATATGTGGGACATAGCCTATGTGGACAAAAAGGCGAGCAAAATGTAGAGTTACATGATATGAGCTTCACCGATGGGCTTTGCTCGAATCAACAGTGCCTCAGGTATAACTTCAAAAACAAACTTTAAAAATTAAAAAAATAAAACAAGATTGGGTTTTCAAATTGAAGAATTATCAAGGTATTTTTATATGGGAATTAGTCTTCTCAAAGAAGAGGTCTAGCCGGAAATGAGAAACAAATCAACTTTTGGGCGGACCTTGGTTACCAGATGGTTGTTTATGGGAGCTGTTCAGCCAATATTTTCTTGGAGTTAGTTCAGATTTAAATGCTCAGGGTGTCCCTCAAATAAGGGTACCACTGGTCCCCAACTTAAATGGCCAGTAAGGGAGTTATATCTCAGTCAGAAGTGCTTAAGGGTTATATCCGTAGTAAAGGATATTTACGACCTGGTCACGCACTTTGGGAGAATATTCCCACCCTCGAGAGCAAAATGGTTCACATGGAATTCTCCTTTTTTGGGAGACTTTTGATGGAGGTAGGTTTGGTGAAATGGGGGCAGAAAATGGTACGATTTGTAACAATTAGATCTCAAACTCTTTTTGTTTTTGGGTATACAGGAACGCTATTTTAAAACGATATTTGCCCTCCGTCGATAGAGTATTTGATATGCATAAGAAGAGCAATTTATCATTGGGATACAGGAAAACAGAGAGGTCTTTAACAATGTTCTTAAGCTCTATGTACCAGAGCTTGGAACCCACACAATAAACACCATAGTCTTGATGGTTTAGAGTGAAAAAGAAACAAAATCGAATAGAGAGAGAGAAAGTTAGCCCACTAGTTTGCTTGTCGGAATTGCAGAGAATGGTCTATTGAGATAGGCTAAAAATTTGTTCTAAGTCACCAACTCGTATGGGTAGGAGGGCCCTTCTTATTGAGCACTAAGAGGCTGCCCATTTAGTATTGTGGTGGTTACATGCACTACCTAATAACTACAAGTTACATACACCCCAACAGCTACAAGTTACATACACTTGAAGGGTTACATGTACCCCAACAGTTACAAGTTACATGCCCTTGATGGCTGCTGTTACAAGCCTCTATCTCATTAACGGCTAGATGACTGTTGGATGTCCCACACTCATCAACGGCTAGATGACTGTTGGATCCCTATACGAGTCGGACTCATAAAAAGATAACAAGTCACGAGCCCGACCTGCACACGTGCTTGGGTGAGGGGCGCCTCATGAAAGCGTAGGAAGTGCAAAGTATGACATGCCCTCGCCCTCACACATGCACACGCATGTGCGTGCCCGCATCATACGTTTTGTGTGCTCTGTACATGTGCATTCTCTCTCATTTGTATTTAGAGTATATTGCATCAGAATGCGTGCTCTTAAATACAACTCAACAAACTCTCTCCTCTTCAATATGAAACTCAAACCCACATCTTCCTCTCTCTACAAAGGCATTTAGGAAAAAACAATAAAGCCAAAGTGTTATTTTGAAATACACTTAGGGGCCGTTTAAGTACCTGAAAATATATTACTGAGAAATAGATTACTAGGAAATATGGCATTTACATTGTTTGGATGTACTTTATTAATAAAAAAATGAAAATAGATTATACAATATTTCCCTAAGAGTGATGATTCTATGAGACCCTCCTGCACCTGTGTGTAGGACCCTAAAGGATCACCATTAAATTTGGCACAGATCTCTAGAAAAGCCAAGTCTCACATCCATGTGATAACTTTTCTAGAGATTTGTGCCAAATTTAATGGTGATCCTTTGGGGTCCTACACACATAGATGTAGGAGGGTCTTATAGGATCATTACTCTTTCCCCAAATACCGTGAATCTATTACACATGGGGACGGCTGTAAATCTTTTACACTCATGACAGGTAATCTATTGCACACGTCTCTCTAAATAAAAGCCTCCCTTTATTTGCCGCTAAAAAAAAGTACCATTTTAAAAACCATTTTCCCTTTCTCCTACGGATATCCTCTTCTCCCTCTCAAGCTCGTCTCAAACCCTAGCAGAGTTTGCAGCCATAATGAAAACTGAGGATTGGTAAGCACTAACCCTTCTCTCTCGCTAAAAGCCCTCTCTTAAATCAGCACTCTCTCTATATCGAGCTATTGAGGACAATAGACCCACAACAAAAGCTGAAGATTGGGATTGAAGGAGTTAGCAGTCAGCTAGTTCACTGGATTAACAAAAATTGAAGAGAGGTGGCACAAGGCTTCCATCCATAGGAAGAACAATTTCTTTTATTTTCTCTTCACAGTTCTTGGATTTAGCGAAGCAATTGGCTGACTGTCAGAGCTGTTGTTTTCAGCTCCATTACAAGAAGAAACACTGACTTCACCAGATTCACTCGTTAAATTGGACTTCCCTTCTAAAAATAACGCTTAGGATTTATAGAAAAACACTGAAGAACCTGATATGCAATACCTATGAAATCTAGACAATTGGAAGTTTGAGACTTCCTAGTTTCACCTTTTGTTGGAATATAAGAAGTAACCAGGTGGTTTTGTGTTCTTCATACTTTTGGTTTTTGAAGTCCTTCGCATAAATGCCTCAAAATCACTTATGCACCCTTGCTCTTGGAATCACGTTGATTTTATCTTTATCTCTTAATCACATCAGCCTATGGGCAGAGATATTCACTGCTAATTTAATAGCATTCTTAACCTTAAATTATGCTTACTTATATTTGCTCTTGATCACCCATCATGGTTGTTAAATTTATTATACATTAGCATCATCGTTACATTCAGGTATTTATAATAACCAGATTCTCTTTATGGCCCTCATTCATAACCACTTTGTTGAACAATGACTAGTTTGTATAAGTATATGTTTTGTGATTGCTATTGGGATTTTTTTTAGGTCATATAGAGTGATCAATTTTTTCCTATGGTGAGTAACAATCAAAACCTCAAGCATGAAGTGAAGATGAAAATAGTTGGGTCACTTGCTACAGCTGGTAGTAGTCTAGCTACATTTGGTACCATTCTAGCGACGTATGTGCATAAATCATCTGCACCAAAGTGTAATTCAATTGGTACAAAGTACCATAAAACAATAATTAACTCTACTGAGGTGGGTTGTCGAAACCAGATTAGAATGAGTAAAATAGCTTACTTTATCTTGAGGAATATTCTTTTAGAGAGAGGAAATATCATTGATACAATGGAGATTTCATTTGATGAACAACTTGTGATGTTCATGCACATTCTAAGCGACAACATGCAGAACCGAAAGATTGGTCATAGTTTGGTCACTCAGGAGAAACTTGCAATGACCAAGATTTCCCCGCCTTGGGAAGGCACACGACGGTAGGAGGCTGTGAAGAGAGAGGGGCAACGCCATTTGAGAAGAGAAAGGGGCAGCGCCATTTGAGAAGAGAGAAGAGCAGTTCCGTTTGACAAAAGAGATAGGCAACACCATCTGTGGAGAGAAGGGCAACGCTGTTTGGGTAGAGAGAGAGGCAGTGCTGGCTGTGAAGAGAGAAGGTCAACGCTGTTTGAGAAGAGAGAGGGGTAGTGCCATTTGAGAAGAGAGAACGACAATGTTGTCTGTGAAGAGAGAAAGAAAAGCAACGCTGTGTGTGGCACCGCCGTGCATGGCAACGCCGTGTGTGTGACGCTGCCATGCATGATCAATATTTTCCACTTGCCAGATGCAGTCTACCACACACGCCACTTGTCCTTGTGCATGAGTGGTGCTTACCACTTGTCCAGCTTTGGGCTGCCACCCAACTAGCAAGTACTTAAGCGTCTCGCACTCGCTCTCACACCATTTTCATTTCCCTCTCTCTCTCTCTCTCTTTAAGAGCCAACAGTGAGAGCCATTGTAAGCTCACTGTGACTGCACTTTTGGAGACTTGAAAGGAGCTTAAGGGAGGTTGTGACAAGGGATTTCGGAGGCAACCTTTCTCATTAGGTAAGTGGATCAACCACCATTGCACCAATTTTATGAGAAGGCATGAAATTAAATATCTACAAGTATGAGACAGGTGATAAAGAGTGAACGTATTGTAGCAATTTCTATGCCTTGTTTCACTGAAATGCTGCCTTTGTTGTATGATGAATTTTGGTGTTGAGAAAGAATCTATGGCTTACAAAATTCTGTATATATATATATGTGTGTGTGTGTGTGTGTGTGTATTGAGAAGGAACAGTTATTATGATGTTATTCCCTAAGAATTGAAAGTTATGGAGCCTGTTCTTGAAGCATGTTAAGTGTTACGGTGAAATTCCAAAAACATATATGTTTTTGTAATAGGCTTTTGGATAGCCAAATGAGGTCCAAATGACTTCAAATAACTTCA